TTTTTTTGGGAAGTAAAATGATTTCAACCGAACGCAGGAGTATTGAACTGTGGTTATGTAGTCACATGAAGTTTCGTACCTTTCTAGCTAACTGGGAGACGTTTTACGTAGGCTTATCGTTTTGATATTTTAGTGTCCCCACTCCACAGCTACAATAGAAACACAATTATTATTATTCGAATAGTTGGTATGCAGCTATGTACGGAACATGACTACGTACCGGATTAGCTATGAGCACTACACTCAAGTAAGTTAAAATTCTGAAATATTTTGGCCGTTCTGAATATTTTTTCGTTCATGTCTTATTGCATTTGTTAGTCCTCCACAACTTGGATGATAGCAACTAAATTGTACAAGACTTGTTTTTTTTTTCAGTGCTGTTTCATGGCAGCATGTGTCGTAAGACAGGCGCGAGAACACAAGCCGGGGCACCACACTGCGACCCGTATCGCCTGCAGAGACAACTGTTCGTAACATGACCCAGCGCCGCGTCCGTGTACGTCCAAGCTGACATTATCCAATGCTGCGCGTGTCGTTCACCCCCAATATCAACCCAAAGGGCACATTCAGTCTACGACATAAACTCCTCTACACAGCTACTGTTATAATTGTTTCCACAAACCCATGCCCAAGTTTACGTAGCTGTTCAGCAGAAAATATTGCTTGACAAATTTCAAAAACCATCTGCATGGGAACCAGTCAAATGCAATACACGTCCGTGACATATTGGCTGGTAATCTATTTCTGCTGAGCAAATGATTGTGCACGCTCAGCACATTTCTAGTGCTGTAAGTATGTTTCGTGACTTTCTGATTGATTCCAAGAGCGGTTTCGTATAATGCTTTATAAACGTGTCCAGTGGCTTTGGTGGTTTACGGTCGAGGGATGGAGATTGAAACGAAGTATCAAGTTATGTTTCCTCTCGATAGCTTGTCATGTATGTTAATACCTCGGCATCAAGAGCTGTTTTTTTTTTACATAATATTTCTTGGCCCCCCCCCCAACTTAGCCTAGCCTGATATCTGAATAATATAATCTTTAAGTATAGAAGTTTGGGGAGTGCAACATTTGCATTATGGATTATTCTAGAAGGCTCGCCCAAAAATAGAGAAAATATTTAACACATTCGAAGCTGTACATACAGATACTTCATTCACAGACTGCATATGATAAATGGAGGCTCATTATTGCAGGAACATTAATGTTTGTCGTCTGTCCAATCCTCACAAGAATTCAGAGCGACTGAGATGAAGTCTACCACTATCTCCCCACGTCATGGGTGTGAGGTTTTTTTTCTTTCAAAAAAAATGCTCGCGCTGTCACCATTACCGCTATCATAATGAAATGATATTAATGCACGCATAAACGGATTAGAGCTCCGGGTGAAATATCGCCTGGGGTATGTTTTATCCAATAACTGGTATGCCCGTGTGCTGGGTATAAATAGCCTTGCTCGTGTAGTTTGTGGTTACGGAAAGAATGCTATTTTATTTTGTCAAATTTAAGCGGTATTTTTGTTTTTGGGATTTGAAAACGTGTACAAATCATGAACTTTCTCATTATCCACATGTTTGTGTTTTGATCTAGGAAATCGACATGGCTGCATTTTTTTTCTTTTCAACCTTTGTCGTGTTTTTACAAAATGCTTGAAATTTCAGGGGGAGGAAATACAGTTCCCATTAGGGACTACATCGTGAACCTCATTGTTCCCCCGCAGGAAAAGGAACAGCCCCGCAGCTCCCAGTGACGCATTTCCATTGGGCCTTGCGGGTAAAAAAGCTATGGCGGTTGGTGAAATTTTTAAGAGTGGGCCTGTTATGGCAGCACCTACGCAGAGTTCCAGTAATCGGATTTGAGACTGGGAATTGGTCCGGAGCGAGCAGATCCGGATTTAGAGTTTAGACACCGAATTGAAATGAGGGCCATTGGCTAAAATGGCAGGAATTTCGGCGCTTGAGAGAGAAAGAGATTTTTGTGGACGTTGAAAAGAATTTAGCTTTTTGTTGATCCTATTCAGCTAGATGTGCTAGGAATTATGCTAATATTGTAACTATTTCAAAATGGTGGGGTTTTTTTAGTTCAGTTTGACCTTAGCCAGTCCAATTTTAAAAATTAAGTAACAATCGTTTGTTATATTACTGTATGGCTGCATTTAATTTGTTAATAAATTATCGGTTCTAATTCTTATTGATAAATGGTGGACTGAAGATGATTTTGTTCTTACGATTTGTCAAAGCAATTCAATGCTCGATAACATTAACAATGCAAACAGTTGTACTTCCTGTATTTCCACGAATATACTAGTTGTGCACCAAACCTTTTACACCATTTTGTTCAAACAAACGTTCGTATCCAGGCTTTGTTTGGGGTCATCGAACCGTCCTCCCAGACCACATCTTGTTTAGTCAGTTACGCAACTGGTTTAGCACCAATTAAATCCCCAAAGCTAGCGGGGCATCGTCTGGCAGCCGACCCACAATCCGCCATTGCAAGCTGTGCGTTACGTCACGTCCGTCCCCGAGCCATGGAGCAACGTGCCATGGGACGGGGGGAGACGACTGGGTACCCACCGTATAAACCCCAAGGTGCACCCATGGAGCTCCTTGGAATAACCCGTGCGCGTCTCTGCAGGACTCACCCCTTGCTCTGTCAATCACACGTTGATTGATTGCGACTATTGTGATAACTTGATCGACAAGAAAGCCCATTCTTTCTGTTTGATTATCCTTCCATTGTCCGATTGTTGTTAGTTCAGGCAGGGACAAGAAATCTTACACTCACGCTTCTTAAGTTCTTCTGGAAAAACTGAAGCTTTGTGATGAAGGTTTACTGGATGGTCGAACTATAGGGAAAGTAACACATGGAGCACAATATAAACAAGTCGTCCTTTTTCGTAAATTTGTTTTTCGGGTTTTTTTTCTTACCTTCACTCGTTCTTTGATTGTGACAAATATTCAAAAACCTTTATTTCAGAAAATGTTTTGTTTACAGATTTGCTTGGTGGTTCCCACTTTTCCGTGTATACTTTGAGTTTTGTAAAAACATTCCTCCATGGTAAAAATGAGCACACACCTTTAAAATACGTCTACGACATCAATCGGAGAGTTTCGGGTCTTCCTTCATTTCTGTGAGCACTGGTTTTGAAACTATTACTATGACAAAAGAAAGTCTTTTCAAAAAAAAATCCGCCTTGAAAAGAAATTGTCAGGAAAAACTTGCAGTTCTGTTACTGCTGCTTGTTTCTTGGCCGAGGTCTTATTAGAATGGCTGGTCAGTACTGATTTATGGGCTCTGCATACGTGTCCAGCACCACAATAAAATATGGAACGATTAGATGTGTATGGTTTGTAGATACCAAGGCCTTATTCCCAAGTGGTACGTAAAGGCGTTTCTGCAGTGATGTTATACTAATCACGGACCTTCAGTGCAACAGAAAACGTCTGTCAGGCCCGCCTGTGAATTTCATTCGGCGCGGTGTTGGACTATGATGGATGGCTTGACCTCAAATCGGACATCGCCCATTTGTAACTCGACTGTAGCCATTTGAATTTACAACGCGAATTCGATAGTGTTGACATCCAAAGGCGGGGGGAAATTGATGGGTCTTCTCGATTGTTTGTAAATTATTTATTGATTGCCGATCAAGAGGGGTGTTCCGCACTTGAATTCTCTGTTGTCAGATTCTCAAATTTCGTTGTTTCAGTGATGGAGCACTGATCGTGATTTCTTTAAAGGATGCGGTTGTCAACACGTTATTGTATTTCCTCTGGCTCAGTTTCACATCGTTTTTTTACATCATAAAATACTGCAGCATTTATGATACAAATTTGGATCACAGAACTGTAAAAGTTGTGAAATAATTATTGTCAGCGTGTCTTAAATTTCCAGTACATTATCACACTTCAAAATTGCTTCCTTGTCGTCTCCCAAAATCAACACGATTTTGTCATAAAAAAAGAATAATAGTCGACTTTTAATACCCGATGAAATCCCGTAAAGATAATTATAACAGTATTATGCCTAAGTGGATGTAATAACAGGAGATGCGTGTGCTTTTTCTGCCCATTCCCTCCTATCCTGAACGGCCAATTTTCTAGAAAGTCCCCCATCAATTAGTGCTAAGTGAGCCCACCTGCTGGGACTGTTGGTTGGGCCCATTAGGCTTCACCGTGGATCAAGAAACTCATTTTCCCATGGCATATCGCTGAGCTGTTGATGCAGATGAACTTCCACATGCGTGACTCAGTGTTATTGTTGAACTTGTACGTTTTATCCTTAATTCGACTAAAGCATGACAGAGGATTTTTATTTGAGAGTGTGAATGAAATTTTCTGTAAAGATTTGAACTTGACTAGATGAAAAATAGTCCAATCTCTATGGCACAACCCTCAGAAATTAGAACTTAAGTTAAGTGGGGTTGGAATTGCACGTGTGTCCCTTCTCTATGATGCAACAGAAACAGCAAAACTTGCTTCATTCGTTTTATTTCGTCGCGTCTCATCCGGAAAATAATGATTTTTCAACTGCAATTATTTTCTTTAGAAAGTACATGTAGTACTGGTAGTGTCTTGACATAACCTTCATCAAGCAAAGATCTTGTGATTATTGGATCATGCCGTTCATGTTACACCAAAAGGGTGGTCCACTGGATCGATAACCTCACCAAGGGATTCCTTTGTTATCCCCACTGAACAGCCCCACGGGCTGTGTGCTCTCGCGGGCCGGGCCGGGCCGGGGCAGAACGGGCGTTCACAAGTCACCACTCAGCCGGAGAATGGCGCATTGAGCTGGAAATTTGCACAATTTACCGGGACAAACGCGCCTGATTTCCCATTCACTGGACGCTGATCCTCTGAGAATACGCCAAGCGTTTTTAAGAGTGCACTTGGTATCGGGCGGGGGCTTAACAAGTTGGTTGTTTTGTGCGTGCACACCATAGCTGCTGCGGCGCGGGCAGTAGCCAGTGGAGGTCCAATAGGCGAGAAGCACATACCGTACGGTGTTTATTTTCTATTAGGTGTGACAGCTGGCAAGAGGTGCACAGTGTGTTGCGAATATTCAGTCACTGCTTAGATAGCGAACAGAGTGGGAGAGATTTGTGTTTAGTTCTGACTATCTCCCTGCCTGCTGAATCCTGGAAAACGGATCTTGGGATATAACTACCTTAACAGCCTATTCCCAGAGCCACGAGCAGACGGTAGAGCAGTTATCGTGAAGCCCTCTGCGGCAATAATACTCCTCTATTCAGTCGTGAAAATTGGGGTTTTGGAAGGCCAAGGCCAAGACACGATGTTAGCAAAGAGCTGTCCGGGCCGAGCTCTGTTCAGCTCGCCGCCTGGCGTGACAGCATGATTGATGTGTGACTATGCCCCTCTATTTCCGTACCAACAGAGTGAACCGTGCTAGCATCTCGTCATCATCGTCATCAACAGCAGCAGCGGCAGTTGTGGTAGCTCGACCGTCGGAGCCTGGCGAGGCAGCAGCTACATGGATGGTTATGGGGAGAGGACAGCGCTTTCACCGCGCGTCGCCGGCCCAAGCCACGGCCGTTATTCTCTACGTGCTCCTAATCGTCGCCATGTTGATCTCCACAGGTAAGGGTCTTCTTTTTGATTTACTGCCGATATTTCACGGGTAGGCGATCAAGGGAAATTGTCGGTCCCATTGTTGGGGAGGGAGGCATGCAATTTACGCTCCAGACTAAATTGAGTTGTGAACACTGTACAGAGAAAAGCCGAAGGACGTTTTTCTTTTCTTTTGTGCAGCGGGTGCGCCGATGTATAGTGTTAAGTGATATGGCCATGTTGGTTTGTGTGAATACTTGATCGCAATTATATACAATGATTGGTTAACACTTGGTGATGTTTGATCGGTCGTGGATTGGCGAGCACATGTTGATATGATTCTCAATGAAATAAACTGTGTATTCTGCTGCTGTAACATTTTGAAAACGTGACATCCCAATTTTTGATTGGAAATCTTGGATTGTAAATCCACACCATGCCAAATGCCGCCCACAAACTTTGACCGAACCGAACATACCATATCTGTGTCACCTTACATGCCTCATGCCGAAAACAATAATTGTTGGTATAATATGGTCATGGATCATTGGACGATGGAATGGTACAGTTTATTGAAATCAATGGCACATTGTACACAATCTACTTGCTTTTATTGCTTAGCTGACACTCGGTCAATGATCCTTATGGTAATTGGCATAATGAACATGATTAATACGACTGAGAAAGACCATTTATATACTAAACACCGATTTTACGGTGAATGAACTAAAGGTTATCAGAACAGGGAAATATCTTTAATACATACAGTCCCCTTAAAAATAGATTGAAAGCAGTGTCCTGACACCAGATTTCGCACCATTAATGGTCAGGCATCACAAATATGTAGACAAAACATGAATTGTTTCTCAGAAAACTTTCAAAATGATGTCAGAAAAGGCACAAATACATGTCGTTTTTAACCTATTAGTAGGAACTATTATGTTGTACAAAATACTGATTGATGTGTGTGTCCCCTTTTCAGTGTCCTCCGAGTGTAAACTGAAGAAGTGTTCCCAGAGATACTCGCAGAAGCTTTCCGAGAACGTGCGCCGAAACCCCAACCGGAGATACTGCCAGGCCCTGGTGGACTACAAGAAATGCGTGATGGACATCCCTCCCCGGTCCTGCCGTGGGGAGCTGAACTACCATTCCACCCTCTCCATCATCCCGGACTTGATGGAGCAGAATAACTGCGAAGCCATTTTGGCCGAGGCTGAGGCCACAACCACCCCGTTGCCCAGTGGTGCAACCCCGCCAGCTCGTCGGGGCACCGCCGTTCCCCCACCAGCCCCGGAGTTTTACGATACTTGTGACTATCACGGGGAGAGGTCCTACAAGAGCTGCAGCCTGTTTGGGGACCCTCACCTCAGGACTTTTGACGGGTACTTTCAGACTTGCCGTGTGGCTGGAGCCTGGCCCGTCTTCTACAATAAATATGTGGCTGCCCAGGTGACAAATGTCCAACTTCTCCATGGATCAGGTGCTACAGCCACAACCAAGGTTTGTATTGAAATGTCATTGATCTTGCAAAACCCCAATATTTTGTTATCTCAAGTAAATTTTGTCCTTCCAAAATTCCGTGCTACTGCATGGAAAAGCCATCATCTAAGAATTTTAATCGTCCATGAAAACCAATTACTAAGCATGACCGAGGATACACGACCAAAATAATCCATACTATTAAAGTAACGACATTCTTTTTTTAATACTCAGTAATAGCAGTTGGTGTCGGCCTGGTTTGCTTACCAACATAACATGCCACGTTTATTAATGGTTGACAATAAGAATGTCCCCAAAATCAATCATTGTCACGAAACAAACACGCTTTCAAAGTTTGACGAAACAATGTAATCGCATGTTTGTACTTGTCATTCAGGACATTTTGTTATATTTAACAGGAAGGTCGTCTTCTCTTTTCGTGAATAAAACGTTCGTGGTAATCACAAACCTGGGAAACTTAAAAATCCATAGGCCTAAGCTTTCTTCCATTCAAAAATGAAATTCAAAACTGGGAACTGAACAACAACATCGGGAAGAAAATAATTGAATTCGTCTACTGGTAAAGCTCTTATAAATATCGGCCATTATGAATAATGGACTTGGTGAGATGAAGTTGGCCATTCTGACAGCCATGCCAATAAAAACCAGCACGGCACGCTGGTGTATTCGCCATGGCGTCGGCAGTAATTTCTCACAGCAGCACGTCGCCCCAATTCCATTCCCAGAAGGCCGCCTGGGCTAGCCTGGCGCTTGGGGTAAATGGTGCGACCCTCGAGCAGGTGAGCGGGAGCCGCCTGGCTCGGAGTTGCTGGCCCATGGCCCAAGCTAGCTTGGGCTCTCGCAAATCATTCCGGGCCCGTCTGCAATATTGCAGAGCCATCTACATTCCGTCACATTAGGAGCAATTTGTTGACACTCTCTCCTTGTTCTGTCAAGGGCGGGAGGGGAAGGTCAAAATCTGGCTTCTCCAGCGCCATTTTTAGAAAGAGCTGCATGCATAGTATGGATACGGTCAACCAAAAAAAGGGCGCTCTTCAAAGTTCAAGCTGTTAGATAGAACTCAAGGCAGTTGACTTATGAAACTTGCATATTATTTCTCATCCAAAAGAGAATTTATGTGGATCAAAATGATTGGTGAATACCAATTGTTGTGTTTTTATTTAGAATCTTTCGCTTCGATCAGTCACAAGATCAAAGCAATCAATTTGGCGAACTTTTTTTCGAATCTTGTTCCCATGTCCACAGTTTATTTTGCGAATTAATAATATGTCGCCACTCGTTGACGATCTTGTTTGCAGTAATGATCATTCAGGCAATGTTCATCCTCGGTGTATTGTATTGACAAGACATTGGCAGTTATTTATTGCGTGGAATGATTTGCCGTTCATAGAGTGATATGAAGTAACTTATGGAATGCACTTATTCCTCTCTATGGTAAATTGAAGACGATTTGTTTTGGAGTTGGTGAATCGTGGGTCCTAGCTCTATGGTCTGTTTTTGATGAGAAAGATTGGAATTTAGTAAAACTTGTGGAAAGAATGTAGTATCCAGACGCCGCCACTATACGTGTTTACACATGTCATGGAATCGAGTGCATTGTTAAAGTATGTTCTAGCAAAATTGGAAATGTTTCTCAGTCCCAATGTTAATGTCTTTTGTTAATGTTAATGTATTTTTGCAATGACTGACCGTCGTTGAGTAAGATATGATGAAAAAAGTGGCGTCAGGATGCAACATTCTTTCCAAACTTGTTTACCATGTTTTTAAGTTTTGGTCAGACACATTCACGGAACCACAGGTGCAACTTTGTTTCCACCATCCAAGTAGTTTAGAAAGGGTCAGTGGAATATGCTTCAAGCTCTGCATGCACGATTGACCTGCCCGTACTGACCCCTGTCAACACCCAACCGATCCATTCCCTCCAGCCTACCAACATAATCCCCCAATTCACCGGACAAAACCTGCCTTGCTCCAACGCTGAATGCCCATTGTCGGCGCCAAATACCACCGTAAATACTAGCCCAACAAAACGGGCACAAAATCCCCTCTTGTGGCCCGATCGGCCAGGCAAACAAGGGCCCACCCTAAGCCGGCCAATCTAAAAACCGGTTGTCAATTTGGAGTTGTCCATTGTGCGGCGAGGCCCCGCGCTGAGTGTTTTCTTTTAATACCTCCCCAACCCAATTTGCTAGCTTTTGGGCTATGTTCTGAAACTGTGTTCTCTATTGTTGTCGCTCCCCATTCTCCCATGTATGACAATACTCCGTTGGTTGGGCTCAGGATTTTTTTTGTCCTGTGGTGTTTTTGGCGTGTGGATATATGCAAATTCACTGCGCGAGATGCTTTCTTGGAATCACTATAAACGACAATCTGATTTACTCAACTAGTTTTTTCCCGAGACAAACAAGATCGACAGCCGGAAAGACTACTTTGAATTTACTTATGTACATGTAGGTTCAATCTTTGGGGGGAAATCTAGGAAAGAGTGTAGTATCCAGACGCCACTTCAGCGGTTGTGTGCAAATTTATGGAAAGTCAAGAAAATTGTCTGTATTTCCTAACAAAATTGGAAATAGCAGCATGTACATATACTAGTGTTACTTGTAAAATTGGAAATGTTTCTCAGTCCCAGATTCATGTCTTTCAATATTTTTGCAATGACTGGCCTTTGTTGAGATGTCTTACAACGGGGGTGAACTAACGCTCTAAACATAAGTACAATGTAACGTATAACAATGAACATGTAGGATCAAAACCACAAGTGCAAAATTCAACATACAGCATCAAGAACACCTCACATAACAGTAGACGTGCATGTATGTAAACCCTTGAAAATACATGGTAAAAATGTTGAGGTCTGTACATGAGACCATGGAGCTACCGTGCATTAGTATCAGACCATCCAAACACGATTTGTCTGAAGAATCTTTACCTGCGCTGCCTTGGCAACCCACCTCAGCAATCATGCATTTACCCCAAGGGCTTTGCATGTTTTGTCAATGCGTCAGGACACGATTTTTAAAAACCGCTTCAGCTATGGCGACATTATCATAAAATGACAGTCCTTTTGATGTTAAAATGATCTCTTTATTCCCGCCTTGCAAGAGTATTCTACTTTCTCTAGTCTCTACTGGTTTCCCACTTCAGGCGTCCGTACCGTAGAGCCGTGAATATCAAGTCGACCTTTGACACTGTTTTGATAAGTGCTCAGGGATCACGCTTTCTGCCTTGACAAAATTCACTCCACTAAAGAAACTCGGTGACTGTGTCCCCACATGACCATGCACAAGCCTGTTTTACAAGGAAAGAGATGATAAGATTGTTTAAAGATGATAAAAAATATAAAAGTGTTGTATTTATGAGAAGTTGAGAACACATCCGATGCGTTGTGTGTTTCCATATGCACATCGGTTGTGGGCTTAAGATGTTATTGGTATATTATACGTATCCCAGTGTAGTTTGTCGAGATAATGGGTTTGATCCCTTGTTCCGCTGTTCCATTGTCAGCTGGGAATTGTCCATTGATTAATATCTCCAACCTATTAAGTGTTAAATTGGGTCATGCATCGATCGTTTCCGCGACTGTCATCGATTGATCGCGAAAATCAATTTTCCAGCGTCAACTTTTTGACCACTGTGAATGTGATGTGACCATTATAATAACCAAACCCTGGGCGCTGCGAAACATACGTCGCCGCTACGTGAACTCGATTGTTCATCTAACACCACAGCATCCCCCCCCCCAAAAAAAAAATCGAAATGAATTCACAGTCAACTAAACATCAATAAACCACTGGCAGTACACCAGTGCGAGCTTATGGCGCGGTACTTATTGTTTACTTTGCGGTGTTATTGTTTTCGTGGTAGGCTCAACAAAATCCCGACACCTTATTTTTTTTCCTGACACAAGCATCAATGTACATGTATATGTACATGTATACCAAAAGGTCTATCGAAGTTCGAAGTGACAGTGGCGTTACATCGTTGTAAACAATCCACCATTTTTTTTGCTGGTTTTTCATCTGAAGTTTTCGCCATCTCATTTTTTTTTATTGGTATACCACAACACAAGGCAGGAAACTTGGCTGTTAATGCCGCACGAGGCCCCCGCTGCCTTTTCCCGCTGGTTCCACGCATCTCCTTTGTTCCCGGCCCTACTTTGGTGTGGCCTGGCCAGCACCGTCCATGCCTCATTTCTCGCTTGGCTGGCCCGCAATTTTTAGCCTGAATATCCTGTTTAACGGTTAACTGAGCAGAGTCGGTCATGGCTATCGCTGGAGCTTTAATAGATGTATGCGGCACCGTACGTGTAGATCTATGCAGGCCATTTTCCCCCTTTCGTACAACCATAATGTATTACTGTGGATGAAAAGCCGTGTGGCTCAGCATAGAGCTAGTGCCTGCGGCAAGGATTATTCACTTAAACCCCCTGCACAACTGCTGTGTGATTTACCTATGGAACAAAATGGCTGCCGAATTCCACAGCTCAAACACACTTACACCCACACAGCACTACATAAAGATCGAAAAGTGTTATTTGTTGTACAGTACAGTGCATGTTAAATATCATAGGTTGGTGTGGATATTATTGTACATATCCACACGCGATCTAATGGAGATCCAATATCGCTTTTGCTGACAGAAAAATTTGGTTGTCACAATTCAACCGCGTGCCGCCATGCCCGGGTCAATGAAGTCCCCCACAGAATTGCAAACGTGCGCAGTGTGTGAATAAACCTCTTGCTTTACAGGCCGTGTTTCACACAAAGGCATTGCCACGTGTTTACATTAGCCGTGTGGGCATTATTAAAGAGACGTCATTAACATAAACTGTTTTCTTATAATGAGTTGGGTTTTGAAGTGGAAGTCCCTTGAAATTTAAAAGTTGATAACCATTAAATGTAAATCACTACGTATGGCGGAGTAATTGGTGTATTAAATATTGTGATTTGTGATGGCACTTCGTTGCGTTGATTTGTATTTGAAAATATTAGAATGGGCAAATTCAATCATACAAATCACAATTAAAATTTAAATGTACAAAAGTAACCCATGAATTATGATTTCCCACCAACTGCCGTGGATGCCCTTATAGCAAGTCATCCGAATATCTTTCATAATCGCCTTCCATAAAATACCTGATTTTTCTCCTTGCATGACATAATTCAGGCTTGCAACCATAGTGATAATTGTCGTAGAGAGTGATCACCAAAAACAACGTGAAATACTTCACCTCTAAAAAAAATTTTTAAATCATAGAACATCTTGTTCACGCTCAAAACATGTTTTCGAATATGTGAAAATTTGTTTGGCAGATTTTCTTGTGAATGGCAGTTACAGAAACATTTCAAACACACACCACAAACAAGATATTGGCGTGAGCAAATTAAAATACGCTGGGTATCTGTATATTTTCAGAAATTTGGAAGAACAAATTTCTGAACATACATTTCTCGACGTCATCCGTTATAGCTACGTTAGGTTTCATTTTGTATTAGTGACAATTTTCTAACCTTGTTTAACACCATGACCAAAAAATGTTGAAGTTTCCTCGTACGTCATCACAGAGACTATTCAATTGTTACTTATGATCAACCGTTTTGTCGAAAAAATATTTATTTCAAATCGCAAAAGTAGTATTTCTCTACAAATATGCAGCAATGAGCAAGCCTCAGTCACATCATGCCGCAGAAAATAAAGCAACCTTTCCCCTGCATTTAAGCTTTTCAAGAACGTTTAAACCCGCTTTGTAAATGGACTTATAAATAGTGTTCAAGAACTGTTTATTTAAACCATGGCTTATTACGTGTGCCTGCCTTTGTACGCATCGGTATAGAATTTATTATCCAGGACGCACGGCAGTCCTGCAGATGCACAACGCATTACACAAATTAATCAGTCCATTTACACTTGGGACCAAATGCAATTAGACCCACTTCAGCCGCTGAAGATTTTAATCATACTGATTTTCCACCTTGATCTATCGCATCGCCATACATATTCATGCTAAAAAAAAGAGCACCGCCGGCCCTTTTTTGATTAATGGGGATTTTCCAATAATGACTCGTCATCCCCTCTGTCTTGTTATTTTCACAGTTGTCCGTGATCATCAAGGGACATCATGAGTGTGCCGATCGCAAGCTGTACCTCGCCCAGACCGGCAACCTCCCCGGGGCTTTTGTGGACGGCACGAAGAGCTCTGGTCCCGGAGGCAGGGGTGTGGTCGTCTATGAGATAGTGCCCGACAAACACGTGGAGATCCACATCCGATATATCGGCACCGTCATCATCATCCGACAGATCGGGGAGTACCTTCTTTTCTCGGTCCGCATGCCTGAGGAGATCATCAAGAGGCAGGGACCGGAGGACCTTCAGCTGTGCGTCCGGGGATGCCCCGGGAGGGAGAAGATCGACTACGTGGAGTTTCTTAAACAAACCAAAGACGTGGACAAGGAGAAACTACAAAGCGCCATTGCCAAGTGCCGGAAGACCAACGTCATCGACGTGTACCTGGACTCCTGTGTGTTTGATTTGCTGACGACAAGTGATGACAATTTCACCAACGCGGCTGAGAACGCTCTGCGAGATATCTCGCGCCTCCAGCCCAACGCATCCCTGTCCCTCCACAACAGAACTAGTGTCTTTGAAGACAATAAAATACTGGCAGCTCTGCCTCCGAGGAGGAACAGCGCGCCCCCAAGAACTCGCAGTTCCATCACTGCCTACACACATTTTGCAATAGTGTTACTGGCACTTTGGGCGTCGCATCGGTTAACGACGTGAACAAGCAAAAGACTGTAGCATAGATGCAACTTATTTCTGTTAACTATCAATATTATTTTGCAAAACTTAAACAAAACTTATGATATATATATTGTACATAGAAGTGTACATAACTATACAGAAGTTAAAATGCTAGCCACATTGTACCACCGTTTATAATTATTGCTAAGATGTACATAATGGTCAGGATAAAATACTATATGATCTGAAGTGTATTTAATTAATATTTTGCAGTCATTGTAAACAGAAGAGACTGTATTACAGCAGACGTTAACGTCTCTTTATACAAGATATGAAAGTGTGTTATTAATATTATACAGAAAGCAAGCTCCGAACTGTAAATGTGTCATCTTTGCTACCTCATTTGGGAAACAAATATTTAAAATCCCACAATGAGCTGAAATTAGAAATACAAACATGTACTTAAAAATGGCAACTTGTAGAACGCATAAGTAAATTACGAAAATCCTAACCAGTCTGCAGTGACTTGTGTCAACATGATAAATCACGAGAGGACGCTGTTTCAATTGGAGACTTTTGAGACGCTGGGTGGTGGCAAACACGGTCCTTTTCAATTGTCAGCTAATGTGCGCATGTTAAAAATGACCAAACAATTCAAGAGGATTGGTGTGTTTTGCTGCCACGTCTCACAAGTCTCCCATTGGAACATGGGTTGTCCTTCCCTCTGTTTGGGTTGTCATTTCTTGAAATGTCTTCCTTTTTTCGAAACACTCTTAAACTAGTCCAACATTTTTCATCGATAAAAGGAAGATATACAGACATTCACTTCTATAACCGGCGCACAGAATTTATTTTTCTTGTGTAGGTGGTGCATTGTTACTTAACATGCAGACTACTCTCAAACAAACTTGTGTGCCCGATCTGACAAGAAAAGTGAATGCATTCAAAACACATTTTTCGAATTGCTTACAAGCAAAGTCCACTTTGTGAAGATCCACTGTTAAGAACTTTCTTTCAATTCAGGAAACAGTGAGTTGGTTAACCGTGCACGCTTGTTGCGCGTGTAATTTCAATCTCCACACAACATTGAGCGTTTTTGGTACTAGAAGACGCCGTGTTTTTTAGGCCCAAAAAACGCGTCTGTATATCAATTCAGAATTTCATGTGGGCCTCAAAATCACTTTATTCGCGACATTGGTTAATCTGTGCACAATGCTATCCGCACCAACGAAATGTTATTCAATTGTGCTATTCTGTTCTTCCATTTTTATATATTTTTCTTGCTTATTTTGGTAAAAGTATTCTTTGTCACGGCATATATAACATAATTATTTCGCGTGAACAGTTACTTGAGATTCCAGTAACACCTGTAATAGTTGTAATGCATTCAGATATCCATTGACAGCTTGCTACGTGAATAGTACATTGTTTTCTTAGTAGGAGTCAACTCGATAATCCGACAAAGTTCCGGATGAGTATTTGGGGGAAAAATTGCAACCTGACGCCACTTCCGCGATTGTGTACAAAGTCTATGGAGAGTCAAGAACATTTTCAAAGTATTTCCTAACAAAATTGATAATGTTTCTCAATCCCACATTCATGCCTTGTCAATTTTGCAATGAATGACCTTCATTGAGATGATATACAATGTATGAAGAAAAAAAGTGGCTTTAGGTTGCAACATTTTTTCCCCGAATATTTTCCCGATAGGGATCGTTTTGTCCCTTGAACATGATCACTCTGGAGAATCTTGTAGGGAAAGGTTCATAACATCCATTACTTAACTGAGTTGAACTGATTTCAAAACAGTGGTCTCGGAATATCACGGACCGGCAAATTATAGCAAGCTCATCGGGAAAAAGTTTCAACTTTTCTTGTATTTATTTTTGAGATGACACCTTGGCATTCATTATTTTGAGCATGAACAAAATTGCACCGCATCATGGTATCAAAAACAGACAACACAGTTTGCGAAGGTACATTATTATCCAGGGGGACTTCTGTCTGTTGAAAATTAACAGTTTTAGTGAAGATTGATAATTATTATGTGAAATTTATTTATGTTTCAAGGTCTACAACGGAGACCTTCCCGTGGGTTTCCTTGATTGTGTGGCCGGGTTCGCCGCAACTCCCAACCCTTGCTTCAGTTTAATCGAAGCTGTATTTAAACGGACTGTACATTTTAATGGCAACTACATGTATACCCGTGGCTTACATGGCCATGTTATGCTGATGACAATGCTGATTTTTTGCAGTTTCTGACAGAAATAAAAATTTATAAGTAAAACGACTCTATGGTGACGAACGTTTGTTTTCTTTCCATATTTGCTTTGGAAAAGCAATGTAGGCATTCTGATGTTTCTTTACCATTCGTGATGAATTGTTTGATCGAAATGCCGGCGGCTATGGCCCATGATAATCGAGTCATTTTCAACTTCATTTTCTTCAAAGGAACACACAAGGTTTGGTAGCCTAATCCTTTTGGAGTGGTTTTTTTTTTAGAGAGAGAAAGAGCAAGATCGCATGATGCATCAATCAGACTTTGGTACTTAAAACAACACGTCTGTGCTGGTCATTTGCTGCAGGTTTATTCCATGGATAAAAGGTAAAAAGCAAAACAAATATTGGTTCGGGCTTGTTACGTACCAATTGGTCCGTTTTGTCGCTAAAATCATTCTGATCATGATCCGCAAATGCACAGTGTTGGCAATAATTCCATCATGAATAGCGCCACCTAGTGTCAGGTGGTTCATTTCCGTTCGCTGTGAACAGCGCGCGTAATTTTTTTTCCTAGGAGGGTTAGGGGCAATGTCATGAATAATTCAGTTTTTCCTTTGAATCATTGCAAGACTTAGGTTCTCGTTCTATTTTCCCCTTAATTTAAAATTATCTCAGTGATAAATTTGGAGAAGAAAAATAGCTGATGAAAATGAGCAGCGACGACGTGGATTCGAACCAGGGATCTTTGTATCCATAGCTCATCTCGCTATCCACTAGGCTACTGTGTGGTAGCTCGACGACAACCGTTCTTTAAAATGCTTTAATGTATTGTAACTAGTTGAGTAACTAACAACAATGCTGTTGATGTCATTGTCCGTTCTCATGGATGAACATGAATTATTCATGACATTGCCCCTAACCCTCCTAGGAATAAAAATTACGCGAACAGCGCCCCCATTTGTTATTCCGTAATTCTTGGCGTGAAAAATACAAAAAAAAAAAAAAAAAGAGATTTATAATTTAGATATTTACCTGCCCAAAAGTTTCTACGAATGTATCCCTTCCATCAGGCCGGGGAACTGCCTGACCGACTGTGTCTCTAATTTTCAAAAAAGGAAACCGCTCTGATCCTGCAAACTACCGACCTCCAAACTACTACCACGGCCGTTGAATTTTGGAGGTGCATATAGGCTCACTATTTTTGCCCAAATTGTGCCCAAATGTGGTATGCAGTGCCGAAATAATCTAAGAATTATTTTAAGAGGTGGACGGAGGACCCAACTTAAATCTTGCTGATTAGAGGGTGGAGCTGATTTATACAAAAGGTACTCAGAAGAGTCAGTTTTCACGGCTGCGCGTATGATAGCCGCTTCGGAGAAAAAAAAATTCACTGTGCGGCAACCCATTGTCGGAATTTTATGTTTTTTTGTATCAAAAGATGTTCAAGACTCGAGGCTTAAAAGTCAGGAAAGCTCAGGGTCGGGAAAACATTTTGTTGGAAGGTATCGCGGAAAACGTTGGGGGGGGGGGGCGTTCCCCCGGCCCTTTCTTAGGGTTAAACGCTTTTATAATTCCCATCCCCGCCTAGTCTGTGTATAGACCATGGCTCCGCAATACGGGCGATACCCATCCCCGCCAAGCCCCGCCCTGGAGTCAGCGAGGCGTCACTAAAATGGCGCGCATGTGCAGGTGCTTGTACAAACCCCAGGTTTGACGTTGGCGTGCAGGTTACTGTGATTGTCATGTTGCATCCGAAGGGAATGCAATCAAATTGTACTCGAATCGTTTTAACGCCTACTCAGGCTTATCTGCATTTCGCATAAATCTTTCGCCTTTTACTAAAGATTTCCGTGCAGATGAGCATTTTGATGAGTCTATAAACAATTTTTCCCTGGCTGAGCGAAAGCTTGGCCTAACAAATAAAGCCAAAGATAGAACAGGGAACGGAACGACAAATGATACTGACACGCGACAAAATATCATCTTTTAACAATCATTTTCGATTTTGGAGTTATTGAATCAGCTATTGCAAGCTCCTCGAGCACATAATTCACTCCAGTTTAATCATGGGGCTATAAAAATTGTATACTGAAACACTTTGATGAACACACATGCTGAAATACGTATCCTTGTGGAATCATTTCTTTGTTCTCGTGTTCTAAAGTTTTCGAGTTTGAAAGTGTATTTCAAAATGCTCCTATTTTAACCAGAATGAATTTACTGGGCTGAAATTTGGATTTAACTCCCTCACATCAAATTCTCCAATTTGCGACGGATCAACACACCTTGGAAATTCCATTTTTGAGTAAAATCCATATATCTATTTCGTGATAACCTTGTGGAGACGTAGTATTCACCTATTTAAATTGCCCTGTGCAGACGTACACAACATTTTGTTCCCTATATGGTGCACATGTCTCCAGAGGGTACCGTGTAACAGATCACAATGTCCTAAACGAAGAACAACACGCGTACCGGGGTTACGAAAGGGTAGATCGTGCGAAACACAACTTGCTTTGACTGTTCACGATCTGTTAAAGATTCTTGAAGGGCAAGCAGATGTCGTAATAAAGGATTTTAGTGAGGCCTTGTACCGCATCAGCGACTCTTAATAAAACTCCAGCAGCAGGCTCAAGCTGGGATTACCGGCTCACTGCACAAAATGGGTCGGTAACTTTCTTACAAAAAAATCACAGAAAGTCGTCCTGAGGGGGAGTTTCCTCATCGTCAATATGTTGTTCGTTTTATCCGAACCTTCGTAATTTCACCGGCATTTCGGTCATTTGATGACAGTTTTTATACTTTTGTTCATTCCACGACAGTCCCTGCTTACATTTTAGATTGTATTTTTGAACTTAATGTCTAAAGATTTAAAATAAATTAAAAAAAAAATAAGTAAAATACATGTGACCTCTGGCGTGGCACAGGGCACCGTCCTGGGACCGTTGCTTTTCATACTATTTTGCGATGTTGTGGAGGGATCGTTTTTCAAGATGGCTGCTTGTTTTTTTCCGCTTTGGGAAAAATATGGGTCGTCTTGTTTATTAAGAGAATTTCTCGAAAAGTCAATGGTCAACCCACCAAAAAATGAAAAGAAAATGAAAGAATATATATATGTTGATCATCAGTTTTCTGTGCAGCTTAAATACCTGTCAGAGTTCTGAGTATTTTAAAAGAATTTTGAAGTAGGCCTATGGACATTTAGCACTGGTGTCGATTCTACGGGAATATCAATTATAGAGACAACAAAATGGCCACGCACCATGCCGCGACAGAGTTTTTTTTCAGTGGGCAGAGCCTACGGGGAACCGGGGGGGGGGACAAAAGCATTTTAAAGATGTTCCAAAAGCAGATGTTCCCAAATTGCAAGTAAAAAAAAGGGGAGGGGTTGGGTATGTTGAGCTTCAAAGTAGCTGAAACTCGATGAACTGCTGTTGGGGGCGCTCTTTACCTAGCATGCCAGGCCGCGATTTTTTTTCCCGTAGGCGGGATGCTCCAAACTCATGCATCATTCAGTTTTCCTTTGAATCTTTGCAAGACACTTAGGTTCTCGTTCTCTTTTTTCCCTTAAAATAAAATTAGCTCAACGATAAATTCAGAGAAGAAACACAGTTGATGAAAATGAGCAGCGACGACGTGGAATCGAACCCGGAATGTTTGTATCCCCCCGCTCATCACGCTATCCACTAGGCTACTGTGTGGTAGCTCGGCGATGTTCGCACTTTACAATGCTTTAAAGGTAACTGGTTGACTACATAACAACAATGCTCCTGATATCGTTGTTCTGTTTCATGAATAAACATACTGGCCCGATCAAACTATTGAATTATTTATGACTTTGGAGCATGCCGCCTACGGTAAAGAAATTCGCTGCCAGCGGCCGACGAACAAAAGCGGCAGTATTTTCAGGCCTAATATCGACCTCGCATAAGTTTTTTCTTTTTATTGGTTTGATGGAATATGAATAAGCAGTACTTCCTCTTTGCTGTAAAAGTGGTTTTTGGGGGGAATATCAAACGTAACGTTCGTGCCTCTTAAAGGGTACGCACGTACACCTGTAGATAGACCTAAACCCATCCACCGAGCTATGAACGAATATCCTCAAAATATTCTATAATTAGAGAGGAGGTCTGAGAGCCATAAACTTGGGTCCAGAATTGTTATGGCAATGAACCTGGCATGGCAATTTCGCCGTGTTGTTGAGGGATAGTTAAAAAAGTATTTTGAAGTATAGGTATTTATCACTGGTGTCTACAGGAATTTAATACAGGGCCGGTTGCATCCCCCTTCGCTTTATTTGTAGCCTTACAAGGCCATCGTGGCTTAACTTGCCCGCATTCAAAGCGGCGAAAAACACTATGAATAATTCAACAAAATCAAGTTGGGAAAGGCCTCGTGGCTTTGCTACTCCGTGCGTGCTGACTTAATCTTTGCTCCAAAAGTCGCTTCGGGTCTTCGCAACTCCGCCGCTCTAAGCCACGATGGCCTGGGCGAACGGCTACTTTATTTGTTGCACGCATAGTATCCAGCCCAGTTACAATTTCCACATAGCGCCCTCTTGTGATTACTCTGGGTTTTTTTTATGCTGCCCTCTCTAGTTCAGCTTATCGCAGTCTAGTTAAGAGTGACCGTTTTAGCCGATTTTCGGCTAACTTTGACAGATTTTTTTGTTTAAAAAAACCCATTCTTACAGAAAATTTGACAGAATAATTTTTTTTGGCAGATTTCTAGCAGAATTCTGCAAAAATGTGACTGGCCCCACAAAGCTAATTGTTGTATAATAGCCAGCTCAACATTAAGAGGGTGAAAACTTTTGTCAAAATGTGATTTTCATTTTTGAACTAGTTCTTTTATACGTACCTACCGTTCATAGACATCATGATGTTGATTTTGATGAACAAAGTGGAAATAAACAAGTCAGCTGTTTCAAAGCCTGTTTTCTCAGTTGTGTAATTTGAACTCCAAGGAAGTAATTACATTGTGCCAGGGCTTTCCAACCATGTTTACTCAATTTCACTTTACGGCATAATACCTTTTTTGTGGAGCCAGTTACAAATGGTTATTTTTTAAGAAAAAAATAGCAAATTTGAATAAAGCACATTGTTAAAAAAAATCCAACCTGTTCGAACAAACCATATATGGGGACTAGGTTGGCTGGTCCGATGCTGAGAAGTTCACTGGGAAAGTTTGCCATGACGGAACCACGTTTTGCAATTAATACACAATAATTTCATAACATCTTTATGTGTCTAAAGATTGTTTAAGATGTAATTCGAACCTTAATTAAGACAATACTACAAATCTGCATGTGATTCTAAGTGTTATAACCCATTTCCAGTAATTCTGGGGAATTTGGCAGATTGTTAATCAATCTGACAGATTTTTGAAGTGCATTTAGCAGAATTTGGCCACGACCTTACGGTCACCCATATGATGTCAACCAAGCGCATGAAGTGTGTTTCAACTTCAAGGAAAAGGCGCATCAATTTGTACCTGATTTGTATTGTAAATTGTTTATGAACATAAAGCAGAATGATGAAAACTGAAAGAGACATTCAAGAGACGAGCTGCAGCATGGAACCTGTGAGAATGTTGAACGTGGAGATAAAAACTGAGCCAGAATTTGAAGTTGATGATTATTATTATGAGATTGAGAATGTGTGGCACAATATGAAGACCATGTTGAAGCAGGACGGCCAGACTACATCTACTGCAGAAATCAAGCAAGAACCAGGGAACACTTGTCCTAGTGATTTGGATGAGGATGTGAGTATAGATTGGCATGATAAGCAGTACAAATAATGCCGCTCACAATTCTTAGCGACAAAATAAATTGAATAATCTTTTTGCCTAGATCATGATGAAATGATGTAGATCGACTATTACCATGATTACGGGCCCCTATCATGCCTATGCCTGGTCGGTATGGACAAAATGATGGAGCGCTGGAACTATGGTACCCTCCGTACTAGCGCTCCACTGAATAGTCATACTTTGGTGACTCGTACATGGTTACTCCTAGCCCCATAAATGTGGCCTATTTACTGGACTGCCTCCGTAAACATAGGCCACACATCCACATGTACAAAAATCGTGTCGCACTTTGCCAAATTTTGATTTTCACATTTAGGCTTAGTTTATAGGCTAATCAGAAAGTGCCGCCTTTTTCAGATGTATATTTTTCGTGAAATTTCCAGATTCATTTTTACACGTTTGCGTATCAAAATTTCAACATGAAATTTCACAAAAATTTGACATCTGAAAAAGGCAGCACTTTCTGACTAGCCTATAAAGAGGGTGAGTATGCTTCTAAAGCAAAAAAATCCTACAAACTAAGCCTAAATGTGAAAATCAAATTTTGGCAAAGTGCGACACGTTTTTGTACATGTGGATGTGTGGCCTATGTTTACGGAGGCAGTCCAGTAAATAGGCCACATTTATGGGGCTAGGTTACTCCTAGAACTTTGAGGCTCCGTGTGAGCAGAGCAGTCATAGATACAGAACCCCGCAAAGTTGTTTGCAGCACAAAACACTAATTAAGTACAAAAACGTCCATCAAAACAGAGACATTTCCCACAGAACTGCTGCACAGTTTGCCTCTAAATTTCGTACAATACCTCATGACATACTCACGCTATGTGTGCCTAACAAACATCGCTGGATTATGTCAATTTTTAGGCCAAAATGATGAAAATTATGCCCTTTTCGCACTGAGCCAATCTGACACATAAAACGTGCAAGCAAAGATATGATAGATCGATGATTTTCGGTTTGCTCAGAGCGCGCCACCGCGGGGGGTACGGTACATGTGAAATGATATATGTGCATGCGTAAAAGTGCAAGTACAGTCCCCCCCCCCCCTCCCCCGCGTCGCGCTCCGATCGAGCGAACCGAAAATCATCAATCGATCACAATCTCTGCGTGCACGTTTTAAGTGTCAGATTGGCTCAGTGCGGAAAGGGCATATTTTTCATCATTTTGGCCTAAAAACCGACAGAATCCAGCATTGTTTGCTAGGCGCACATTTTAACGTGAGTACATGTATGTCATGAGGTACATGTATTGTACGAAGTTTAGGGGCAAACTGTGCAGCGGTTCTGTGGGAAATGTCTCTGTTTTGATGGATGTTTTTGTACTTAATTAGTGTTTTGTGCTGCAAACAATTTTGCGGGGTTCTGTATCTATGAGGCTCCGCTCACATAATTCTAGGAGTAGTACACGGTAGCATTTTTTACCCCTAGAACTATGGGGCTTGCTAGTCCTAGTAACTCGGAAAAGAATTCCATACTGGGCCGCCACTCATACTAATATGAAGTGATTAAGAAATGTCACTATTTAAGGAGTGCACAGATTCTTTGATAATACTTTAAAAATTTCTGTCATTGACAATAGACTTTGTGCAGGAGATCTGAATGGTGGCCCAGTATGAGATTCTTATGAGATTCTTGGTCTGGCGATTCTTGGTAGGGTCCAAGCTAAGCCGCATCAATCGGTCGACACAATTTTGTCATTGACCCAAAGACCCAACATTGCCCAACCAAAAACATCAGATTTCACCCTGAAAATGGCCCTCAAGTCACTAGATACGCCACCTAAGGTACAAGTAGACATCGGAGAAGCCACGGGGTGATAAAATTCTCCACATGTTACCAAATATGGTCATAACTTTTTTTCAATGGGCCAATAAGGCCAAGATTCCATGTAATCCTCATCCCTAATATACACCACAAGCCTGTAGACTCCCATTGGCCAGACCCTAACCACTGCACAGTAAGGAGTGTTGAAAGACAGCAGCCCCAAGGAGCCTAATGCCTTTGTGCAGTAATTGGATATCTTAGCCAACCCCTTTGTGCCACCGATCTCGCTGTGTCAACCCCTTGTGCCGCCCAGAGCTCAGACAGGTCCTAAACAATCCTGGCCCACACAAAGGCCATGCAACCTGCCTATATCTTGTGCATGAGGGGGTGTTTTACCTAGAAACACTGTGTGGTGATAAAATTCTCCATGTGGTTTCACCTCGTAATTTTTTTGGTTTTGCTGAAGTGAATGGTGATAAAAAAACATCCGGCTGGATACACAGCGTAAATATTTTTGTTTTTGTGTTTTTTTTCTTCCCGCTTGATCTCTTGGTGACCCTCCCTTTTGCTGCTCATCTTGTTCTTATCAGACCGCTAAACAATCCTTGCCCTATTGACAATATGCTCCCAGTAAAAGCTATTTGCTGAAGGATGGGGGAAGAACAATGTGGCCAGAGGAGGGTCCAACGCTTATTTAGGGATAATTTCTGAGCGGCTGCAAAATCCATCTGCAACAGTTTTTCAAGTGTTGTACCCCCAACTTTTTATGAGGTGTTGATTAGTGAGCAGCTCCAGTAGATCTAGAACCTTGCCGGGTGCAAGGCCCCCCACTTGTTTATGTTTTTTATTGTTTGAGTGCTGCAAAAGGCAGTGGTTGTCCAGCTCGAGTTCATTCTATCATGATGGCTTTTTAGTTCGACTAGCAAGCAAGCAATTTCCGCCGATAATGTTTTGCAGGGTGTGTTTGCTGGCGAGCACAGCGATGAGAGTTCCAGCGAGTTTTCTGAGGAAGAATTCTCTGATGCATCTACGTGCGAGCAACTGGAGGACGACTCCGAAAGTTCTACTTCGGACAGTGATGAAGATGCCCCTCCACCTCGAAAACGGCCTGCATTTATCCCGCCGAAGCAGGCCCCTCCACCACCAGCCCCAGCCCAGCCAGCCACCCCGGCCCAGCCTAAGCCAGCTGCCCCAGCCCAGCCACAGCCAGCTGGCCAAGTTACATCGAGAGACGGGACGGTGTGGAGCAATCAACCACGCGCAGCTACGAAAGCGGAACCTCCAAACATCCTGATGCAAGCAATGGGCCCTAAGAATCTGGGAGGGGCATCATCACCGCTGGAGCTTTTCAGCATCTTCATTTCAGTCACCATGCTGCAAACCATCCTACGTTACACAAATGCAGAGGGGCTGGCCAAGAGAGGACGGGGTTGGATCGACATCGGGATGATGGAGCTGCGCTCATTCATCGGCCTCCTCTTCTTTCTTGGTCTGACCAAATCGGGGCATGAAAGAGTCAAGTCATTCTGGCAACCGGGTTTCTTCTCCAGACCACTCTGCGAGTGCACCATGGCAGGGAAGCGGTTCCAGGAAATTCTTGCGGTGATGTGCTTCGACGACAAGAGCACTCGAACACAGCGCAAGCAGACTGACAAGTTTGCGCCCATCAGGGATGTTTTTGAGATGTTCCGATCTACCCTCATCCGCCATTTCAGTCCAAGTGACAGCCTGACTGTGGGTGAACAGTTACTGGCTTTCCGCGGACGCTGCAGCTTCAAGCAGTATATGCCAAAAAAACCTGCTAAGTACGGACTGAAATTTTGGACAGCAGTGGACAGCCGCACCCACTACACTTACAATATGCAGCCCTATGTCAAAGAACAGGGACAAAGAGAAACTCAACTTGGTGCTCGAGTGGTAAAAGATATGGTGGAACCCGTCTATGGAACTGGACGCAACGTCACCACCGATAATTTCTTCACCAGCAAGGCGTTGGCCGACTACCTTTGGACGAAGAACATGACCCTCGTCGGCATGATCAAAGATAATCGGAAGGAGGTCCCAGACGACATGCGCAAAGGACAAACCCGAGACAGGCCGGTAAAGTCGTCTCACTTCCGTTTCACGTCAACGAACACTCTCGTTTCATTTGTGCCGAAGCAGTACAGAAATGTACTGCTTCTGTCATCGATGCATCACGATGCCACCACCAACCCAAGGAGCAAAAAGCCCGAGATCATTGACTTTTACAATTCGACCAAGGCCGGTGTAGATGCAGTGGACCAGATGTGTAGTGTCTACAACTGTGCCCGCACCTCTAACAGATGGCCAATGGTGGTTTTTTTCCACCTTTTGAACTGTGCTGGCATCAATGCCTATGTGCTCTTCAAGCAGCTCCATCCCCGCCCCAGCACATCCCGTCATGAATTCCTGGAGCAGCTTATCATGGCCCTCACACTACCGCAGGTCGAAATCAGAAGGCAGCATCCAGAACGCCTCCGCATACACACCGTACATGCATTTGCCTATGTTGGCAAGAAAGTTGTCTACCAAGCTAGACAACAGCAACAACCAACAACCCGGGCACCGTCAGCAAGATGCCGGCTCTGTCCCCCCGGAGTCCAACGGAGGTCAACGCGAGTGTGCATGGGATGCGAGCGCTTCGTCTGCAAGCAGCACTCCACCGTCCAAACAGCCCGGAGCTTTGAGTGTGAAGAGTGTGCTATTGGCGAGTAGACTGTTGAGTTGCCATGACGATTTGCTCCAGGAATTCATGGGGACACCACTTCCATCTTGTTTTTTGGGTTTTTTTTTTTTAGGGGGGGTTTGACAAGTTTTCAAATCAGCAGTTTGGTTTTCTAATTTTATGATCATGGGCATTTGGAGTTAACTTTTGTATTACAATCATGCCAATAATGTTTGTGTTTTGATTCACTTTTGATTCATCAGTTTTTTCTTTGTAAATATTGGGGGGGGGCAAGTTTTCAAATCAGCAGTTTGGTTTTTTCTAATTTTATGGTCAATGGCATTTGGAATTAACTTTTGTATTACAATCATGCCAATAATGTTTGTGTTTTGATTCACTTTTGATTCACCAGTTTTTTTTGGTAAATATTGGGGGGGGGGGGGGCAAGTTTTCAAACCAGAAGTTTGGTTTTCTAATTTTATGAACATGGGCATTTAGAGTTAACTTTTGTATTACAATCATGCCAATAACGTTTGTGTTTTGATTCACTTCTGATTCATCAGTTTCTTCTTTGTAAATATTGGGGGGGGGGGGGCAAGTTTTCAAATCAGCAGTTTGGTTTTCTAATTTTATGATCATGGGCATTTGGAGTTAACTTTTGTATACAATCATGCCAATAATGTTTGTAATTTTATTCACTTTTGATTCACCAGTTTCTTCTTTGTAAATATTAGGGGGAGGGTGGGTTGACAAGTTTTCAAATTTATAAGCAGTTTGGTTTTCTAATTTTATAATCATGGGCATTTGGAGTTAACAATTTTCCTTTCAAATATGTTTTTGATTATGTTTTGATTGAAGATTTTGAGTGTGTGAGAATACAACACTGTTGCACTCAATTCCTGTTTCTGTTGTTATTTTATTCTCCTCCATTTTCTTACTCCCAAATGAAAATGCAAATATGCCTTTGTACACATGATGTCACACTTTGTTTAGATGTGCACTTTCCTCCTCTGTAGCCAGGGGGGTCCATGGTCCACTGGGCACCAGAGGAAAGCGCACATGTGAACAAAGTGCGGTGTTGTCAGTACAGATCCCCAGTACCGACCCAAGAATAATAGATAACCGGATATAAATGGACATGCAAATTCTAAGATAACATAAAATGGCCATCTAAGTCTTGTCTGGAACTCCAATTCACCATTTATGGGGATTAAAATTGCTTTGGGCTTGCAAGGGGGGGGGGGGGGGTTATTGACATAAAAAACTGAGTGGTGATAAAAATCTCCATGTGGGTCCACCACGTGATTTTTTTTTGCTTCACTGCTCCGAGGGTGAAGATGATGGTACTGAAGTTTACTTACGATCTGGACGGAAAGTGAAATTTCCTGTTCAATTCGGAGAGCCACCCTCATGATCGCGAACATGTTAAATATCCGACTCGAGTTTGAAAACGCGATGTGGCGTGCCCAGGGTTCCTTTAATGGTCCCCGTATCCCGAGTGCGATTCCGTTACCGAGCGCAATGCATTGATTATGATAATGAGTAGACTGGATCTGGTTTGTACAAGTGCATTTCAAACGATGATATGGAGTCTGGAACTAGCTTGAACTGGTTTCTGCTGATAGCTGCCCTAGTTCCCAACTCCCTATCATCGTTTGAAATGCACTTGTTTTTACAAATGAGATCCAGTCTATCATTATCATTATCGATGCAGCGCGCTTGATAACGGAATCGCACTCGGGATACGGGGACTATTGAAAGAACGCTGGGCACACCACATCGCATTGTTCAAACACGAGTCGGAAATTTAACGTGTTTTGGATTGCGAGGGGAGCTCTCGGAATTAAACGGGAAATTTCACTTTTCATCCGGATCATAAGTAAACTTCAGTACAACCATCTTAATCATCGCTGTCTACTTGTACCTCAGGTGGCGTATGTAGTAATTTGGAGGCCGTTTTCAGGGTGAAATGTAATGTTTTTGTAAGGCAATGTCGGGGTTTTTGGGTCAATGTCACTCGACATGCGGTAAAGCTTGGACCCTACTATTGCCAGACCATGTCCGAATGTTAAAAAGGTGATAAGTTGGGTCCAAGTTAATCGAACTAGGGGCTTGCTATGTACACAAACCCCATAGATGGGCATATCAACGTGAAACATGCAGTCAACAACCGAAAAAACCTGGAGTTGAGTTTTTGGAGCAGCCACCGTATATTTGAATCGATCCCGATGGTGCAAAAAAAATGACAGGACAATCACGAGGCGCCTTGTGATTGGCCCATCTGACGCCATCCTCGATATGCACTATAGATGGTGTCTGTGGTCGGTTCCCAGACCAAAAGACTCTGACTATTCTAACGTCACACCAATTACGTTTCGTGTGCACGTTATTCGTTAGAACTCAACCTGCAGCTTCGATGCAGAAATGGGACCGTTTTCATCATTTATTTTGCAGCATCGGGATCAATTCAAACCTTATACTTTGAGCGGTCTGAATGTGAGTACATGTATGTCAAGAAGTTCTGGGCGTAGTCTTGGGGTAAAATATACAGCGGCTGCTCCAAAACTCAACTCCAGGTTTTTTTGGTCGTTGACTGTACAGTATATTCAGGATATAGTATGCAGCATGGTTGGCCGTGATACGCCTATCTATGTAGCAAGCCCCATAGTTCTAGGGGTAAATATTTTATACCCATGCAAGAAAAAAGGCCCCCCCCCAAAAAAAAAAAACCGGTAAAGAGAATACAAATGAGAAGGACAGTTACCCTGGACAGATCTACACATTCATGACATTCCATAAGTCTGCTTAAATTGCTTCCGACAAGCGCTAATTTTGAAAAAAAAAGAGCAAAATAGTCTGAAAACATACAATTAAATGTGTTTGCCGAGTTGTTCAGTCCCTTTCACTGCTCTTTCATTGAAGGCGTGTGTGACATCACCGTCGTCGATGAAAGAAAAACAACTCGCTTTATCAACGACTGTTTCGTGTAGTGATACCGGTACGTGCTCCGATATGCGCCGTACGACAGTATGGGCTTTGAATACACCCAAGGTGGAGACCGCTGAAACGTACACGTTCTAAACAAAAATCCTACTTACTAGGATCCGTATGAAAAAGATTCGATTCCAAGAGCACCCCTCACGTTCAAGAACATGTTCAACTTCCCGACTCATTTGAACGACTCGTTGTAGTCGTGCTCCTCATTCACAAATGGTCCCAACGGTGATTCCGTTACCGTGCGATGCATCGATCATGATGAGAAGACTGGATTTTGGACAACGATAGGGAGTCAGGAATTAGGGATTTCTTTATCTTGGGATTTTTTTGATCTTGGTATTTCTGGGTCTTCAGATTGTTTTGATCCTTGGATTTATGTATCTTGGGATGACCTGTGACATTTCAGGTCAGAGGCCATGTAGGGGTCAAAATTTGCCAAACCAGGGGGATATAAGCAAGTTTTACTTGCAGTATTTTTATTCTTGGCAGGACCAATAATTGTCAGTAGATACGAGCGCTATATGAGACTTCGATATTATTATTTTATTAACCCTAACCCTCCTCAATCCCGCTATATTTACTTTTGCTTAAAATCATCTGCTTCGTTTTCCCATCGTAGCCCTCGCAACCTGGGGAAGCTTCTTGCGAGGATAACCAGCTAGCTGAAAACCAAGACGCGAGACCAGTTGAGCTGGATGTACATGCTGAGGAGCATGGACATCCTCATTCAAATGTGAGTACACGGCTTCAATCTCCTTCCTTCAGTGACATTATAAATTGAATCATTTGTGAAGTGCTTTTTTCCCATCCCCTTTCAAGCCAAAGTACATGTAAAATGCAAGGTTTGTGGTTAAACCATGGTTGCAATCTGTCCATCTGCCTTATCGGTCGATCACACTGCGCTATTGGTCGATCATGACGGATATCTCCAACTTTACTTGTAAAAATCCTCTAAAAACTTAATTTAGAAAGAAAAGGTGTTCAATTGGTAGCATTGACTGTCCTATTAACCGTGAACATCTGCTTCGTTTTCTCACCGTAGCCCTCGCAACACGGGGAAGGTTCTTGCGATGATAACCAGCCAGCTGAAAACCAAGACACGAGACCAGTGGACCTCATGGTACAGGGTCAGGCAATGCAACAGCAGAATGCAGCAGCAACAATGCAGCAGCAGAAAGTGACTGTTCCAGATGGCGATTCAAGTTACCAAGGTGGACAGGAATCACTCACATCTGATCCTAAATCCGACATGAACAGCATGTCAAAGAGCATCCATGATGGCAGTGGGACGGACCCTCAGTCCAGCTGCACGGAAAGCCCAGTTGCAGAGGTGAACAGTCAGGAGTCCTGCTTAGAGAAACTCCAAGGCAGTCATGATACAGACACTGCCGCTCAAACCCTAGCTGAAGGAAGCCATGCTAAGGTCCAGGCAGATTGGATTCAGTGCCCTTTTTGCCAGATGTATCTCACTGGTAACACCCTGATGGGGCACCTGTATGTTTCACATGACTATGGCTTCATCATCCCTCCTCCGGAACTCAAACGTCCTGAATCTGTTTGGGCTGTGAAACTGAACGATATCGGGAGGTCATCTAGACAGTGTCAAATCTGCAAGAACGGGATTGCTGATGCTAGCATGATGCAACACTTGTTGCAGAATCATCAGGCCCTGTTGCAGTGCCCATACATACACACTTGCACATGTTCATTTGCCACGTTGAGCGGTCTCAGATGGCACATAAAGTCAGTGCATAATGACATCCATAAATACATGGCACCTGACACTGCCTGCTACTTCGGACAACCAGCAGTGTCTTCTACAAGAAGTGAGGATACAAGAAACATGACCTCAGAATCACAAGGAAGAAATCAGGTCACAACAGATAAGTGTACATCTACCCCCAAAGAAATAGCAGAGCACAACCCATCAGTGGATGTTGGAATAACAACAGATGAGTGTTCAGCTGCACCCAAAAAAATAGCAGAGCATAGCTACGCATCAGTGGATCGTAGAATAACAACAGTTGAGTGTACAGCTGCATCCAAAAAAATAGCAGAGCATAGCTACGCATCAGTGGAGTGTAGAATAACAACAGATGAGTATACAGCTGCAACCAAAAAAATAGAGCATAACTACGCATTTGTGGATCGTGGAATAACAACAGATGAGTGTACAGCTGCACCCAAAAAAATAGCAGAGCATAACTACGCATCAGTGGATCGTGGATTAACAACAGATGAGTGTACAGCTGCACCCAAAGTAATAGGAGAGCATAACTACACATCAGTCAATGGTGGAATTTGGAAAAGAAACACATACCATGGCCATGGCAGTCCAAAGAGGAAAAGATCTAGATCAATGGAAAGAAGAGATTCTGGTTCAAGCAAGGAATTCAAGAAATACCAAACAGACACGGAGTCAGGGCCAGAAGAGAGGGCATCTGATCAACCATCAAACGGAGGAGCAGACAGCAATGACTTGCCAAGAGAAACCTGTGATGGAACACTAGAAAATAATGCAAGCTGGGAAGAGACAAACCAAGCACCTCTTGGATGTAAACCTCAAACCAGCACTGTCACACAACAGCAAAGTACATCCAGCATCGGGGAAACCAAAGCAATTGAAAACGCTGAAGAGGGAAACGGTAGATCCCAAATATGGGGCATTCCTATTTTCTGGCCGCAGACTGCATGCAAGTGTCCTGACTGTAACCTAATCTTCGTGTCTCAAGTGCAGCTTATGGAGCATATGTTTGTGAAGCACTACTTCTTTTTCATCGACAGGCAGTGCAACGGGGAAGACCAAACTGTTGCCATTTCAATGCTACCAGAGTTCCAGGAGCAGTACATTTCACTTACTTGCAGGGACTGCCCACGCATTGTAAGCACCAAATCCGAA